GTCCCCAACACCTGGGGCTGAGTCAGGCCAAATCCAGGATCCAGGAACTCCCACATAGGTCGCAGGAACCCATGTACCTGGGCCAGCATCTGCTGCCTGCCAGGTGCATTAGCAGGAAGCTAGATTGGAAATGAGAAATTAACTGGGACACAAATATGCACTCTGATACAGGGTGCAGGTATCTCAATCACTGGTTTAAACCGCTGTGCCACAACACTTGCCTTAGTTTTCCTGTTGTCGAGAGAAGTCACTTTCCTCCTGCTTGGCTAACTCTTTTTTTTTTTTTAACTTTTATTTAATGAATATAAATTTCCAAAGTACAGCTTATGGATTACAATGGCTTCTCTCCCCATAACTTCCCTCCCACCCGCAACCCTCCCCTTTCCCTCTCCCTCTCCCCTTCCATTCACATCAAGATTCATTTTCAATTCTCTTTGTATACAGAAGATCAGTTTAGCATATATTAAGTAAAGATTTCAACAGTTTGCACCCACATAGAAACACAAAGTGAAAAATACTGTTTGAGTACTAGTTATAGCATTAAATCACAATGTACAGCACATTAAGGACAGAGATCCTACATGAGGAGTAAGTGCACAGTGACTCCTGTTGTTGACTTAACAAATTGACACTCTTGTTTATGGCATCAGTAATCACCCTAGGCTCTTGTCATGAGTCGCCAAGGCTATGGAAGCCTTTTGAGTTCACTGACTCTGATCATATTTAGACAAGGTCGTAGTCAAAGTGGAAGTTCTCTCCTCCCTCTTGGCTAACTCTTAATGACTCGTCAGGGCTCAGTTCAAGTGCTGCCTCCTCTGGTGAGCTCTTCCTGACCTCTCTGCAAGCCCCATTAGAAACTGATTATGTGTGTTCTTAAACTGATGACAGACACATCAGCCATGCACTTAGCTCACTGCACAGTTGCCCTCCATATCTGTGGTGTCTGCAGCCACATATTCAATCAACTGAGGATGGAAAACGTTCAGGAAATAATTGCGTACTGGCTGAACACCTCTTCTCTCATGATCATCTCAGCAATACAGGACAGCAGCTATTTACTTGACATATTGAATCAGGAATTATAAGTAATCTATAGATGATTTAAAGAATATGAGAAGGCATATGTAGGTAGCTTCTATGCAAATACTAAACTGTTTTTGTGTAATAGACTTGAGCGTTGGTGGATTTTGGTATCTGAAGGGGTCCTGGAACCAATTTTCCATTAATAGTGAGGTTTGACTGTATTTTACTTGCTCATTTTTACATGTATGTGTTCTCCAAATTGTGAATTCTTGAAGAACAGAAACTAAGTCTCTCAGTTCTACATCTCTAGTGCTTAATGCAGCCTGGCACCTAATAAATACTTAGTAAACATCAAATGAATGAATAAATGAATTCTTGTGGCCAGTGCTTTGTCCTAGTAGATTAAGCCCCTGCCTGTGGAGCCTGTATCCCATATTGGTGCCAGTTCAAGTCCTGACTGCTCCACTTCTGGTCTAGTTCCCTGCTGGTGGCCTGGGAAAGCAATGGTGGATGGTCCAGGTGCTTGGCCCCTGCACTTACGTGGGAGATTGGGAAGAGGCTCCTGTCTTCAGATCAGCCCAGCCCTGGATGTTGTGGCCATTTGGGGAGTGAACCAGCGGATGAAGACCTTGTTCTCTGTCTCTCCCTCTCTCTGTAACTCTACCTCTTAAGTAAATAAATCTTTAAAAAAGTAAGAAATTCTGAATTGCCTAATATAATCTTTACAACAACTCACTGAGAAATCATTACCCCAGTTTTAGAGATGAGGAAATTGAAATCTAGAGAAGTGAACTAACTTGCTGAGGATCACATAAAGATCATGTCACTGGGCAATGTAGGTATTCCAAACCTCATGGAGGTTTTGCATTTTCCACAGCCACTATATAGTAGAATTCCAAAGTAACTAGGTTGTAGGCTGTTTTTAGCTTGGTTATGCAAAGGATAGAAAGAACTGAGGTTAGCAACAGATTTTGAAACCCAATGAAAGGGGTTGCCTTCATGTTGGCTTCTGTTTTAGTTCCAGAATTTCTACTAATGCCTGTAAAGTCAGCACCAGCCAACCAGTCAACTGACATTCATTGTACCATTCTGTGCTTGGCTCTTTGGAGAACATGGTGTTAGCATTACCAGTGTTGATGAGGCTGACACTGGGGTAGCTTTTTTCCTCCTCTCTTATTTCTGTCTCCCCTCTCCAAGGCAATTAAACTGTTTCTGAGGTTCTTGTCCCCACTGGGCTGTGGTGAGGAAAGAAAGGCCCATGTGTTTATTCATAGTGGATGACTAATTGTTTTGATCACATGTCCAGTTTTAATGGAGCGCAGAGCCACTCTTAAAGTCTGGTTCCTTTTGCATATTTCCAGGTCTACATCACTCTCTCTCCTTGCATAGTCAACTCTCATCATTCCTTTTTTTTTCTACCAAATGCCAGTCTTGCCTGGGGTACTGCCTCCACCTTGAGTTAGCTTAGGTCTGTGCTTTTGAGACAGATGTTTTTTTTTTTTTTTCTAAAAGATTTATTTATTTGAAAGGCAGAGGCAGAGAGAGAGAGAGAGAGAGAGATAAATCTTCCATCCACTGGTCCATTCCCCAAATGGTGGTCGGAGCTGAGCCAATCCGAAGCCAGGAGCCAGGAGCTTCCTCTGGGTCTCCCACACGGGTGCAGGGGCCCAAGGATTTGGACTATCCTCTACTGCTTTCCCAGGCCATAGCAGAGAGCTGGATTAGAAGTAGAACAGCTGGGTCTCAAACCGGCACCCATATAGGATGCCGGCAGGGCAGGTGACGGCTTTACCTGTTACACCACAGCGTTGGCCCCGAGACAGATAGTTCTTAATATTGCATCTTCTTTTCCTCAGACATTAGCAGGTGTGCTTCCAGCTTCACTCTCCTCTCATTCATGGAAAGATCCCGTCCACATATCTGTAGGGTAAATGAGCCGAGAGTGACTGTCCATATTAAGACCTTTAGGTTAAACGACATTCTCTAACTCTACTTTTATCAAAGAATTCTGCATTAATTCATTCACTCAATTTTTGTTCACCTTACTCTGTTGCAGACACCTATCCAGTACTCTATGCTAAGAATCAACAACAAACACAGAAATCTCTACCCTTGTGGAGTATGAATTCTAGCTGGGAAAAAGAAGAAGCTATATATAAGTAAATTATACAGAGTGTTAGCTAGAGTAAGTGCTAAAGACATACAATAAAGCAAGGAGGGAGGTACACAACATTGTGCAAGGTGTTAAAATTTTAGATAAGGGAGCTAAGGAAAACCTCATTGAAAAAGTAGGTTGGGAGTTACTGAACTAAATGAAGTGTCAATTTCCCCATATTTTCCAACTGATGCTAATGGAATCTAACTCCTTGTTCAGAACTCCACAGTATAGGAAGGATGCCTGGTAGATGGGAATCTCTTTCTTTTAAGGCTTCATAGGAGAGGTAAATCAACACACATGTAAAGGGAATTTTCTAACATCTCAATGACAGTGTGTACATTAAGATCCATTGAATTTTATTGGAGTAGGATAGAGTCCCTCCTAGGAGGTTAGGGAAAACTTCTTATGATCTGACAGGTGTCTGAGGAAGAACAGCATTCACATTGACAGAGGTGGAGGCAGGCAAGATAATGCTGTGGAAGAAGGAAGGGAGCATGTGGCTGGCATGATAAGACACACAGAGCAGCTTAACAGGAGTGGAGCTTCCACATGGTGGAGTGGAAGGAGTGAGAGCCCAGGGTTAGTGTAGGATTAGTGGGAAATGGAAAATAGAAAAGTAGCTAGACTCCGGAGGGCCTGAACTGTGGGCCACAGCAATTTCTTTCTATTTCTGCTTTGTTCCTGAGTATAGCTCTTGTAGTAACAATCAAGGGAAAGGACCTGAAGAGTGCAGAGCATCTATCACAGAGTACGGCATTCAGTGGGTGCTCAGTATACACCACTGAAAGTCTTTAGTACTGTTAATGGCTGATTATCTAGAAGGGCCATAGTGGTGTGTGAACTGTTATTCATGTAATTCATGTCCACACAGAAATGTTAAACTGTTAGAGCAAAAAGCGTACTTAGAATAGACACAAGAATATTTCAGAAAGTTCATAGAAATAAGCTTATCTTGGCGCCTGCCAAATTTTTTAAAGATTCATTTATTTCATTTGAAAGGCAGAGTTACACAGAGGCAGAGAGAGAGACTGATCGATACATCTTCGATCCACTGGTTCACTCCCCAAATGGCTGCAATGGCTGGAGCTGAGCCAATCCAGAGCCAGGAGACTCTTCTGGGTCTCCCATGTGGGTGCAGGGGCCCAAAGACTTGGGCCATCTTCTGCTGCTTTCCCAGGCCATGTAAGAAAGCTGGATTAGAAGTGAAGCAGCCAGGATTCTAACCCACATTGATATGAGATGCTGGCACAGAGGTCAGCAGCTTTACCCACTACACCACAGCACCAGCCCCACCAAAATTTTTGAAATCCATGTATATGAGCAGTCTTAAAGTTCATGAAAATGCATATTATGAAAGAACTGTGCTAGCTGGTGCTGCAGCTCACTTGGCTAATCCTTCACTTGTGGCGCTAGCACCCTGGGTTCTAGTCTCAGTTGGGGCGCCGGATTCTGTCCAGTTGCTCCTCTTCCAGTCCAGCTCTCTGCTGTGGCCCGGGAGGGCAGTGGAGGATGGCCCAGGTGCTTGGGTCCTGCACCCGTGTGGGAGACCAGGAGGAGGCACCTGGGTCCTGGCTTCAGATCGGCACGCACCAGCCGTAACAGCCATTTTGGGGGGTGAACCAATGGAGGGAAGACCTTTCTCTCTCTATCTCTCACTGTCTGTCTAACTCTGCCCGTCAAAAAAAAAAAAAAAAAAAAAAAAAAAACGAACTATGCATGGATTTTAAGTATTTTGCACCACAGTAAACTTATAGTTTCGTTTCTCTGTGAACTATTTTTTTTCTTTTTCCTTTTTCTTTTTTTTCTCTTTTTTTCTCCCAGTTGTCTGAAAGTTCTATAACCTTACACTGGATGGAGCAGGGCAAGGCCTCAAACCATTTCAAAACTTCTGACAAGTATTGTAGGAATGCACAGGGTCACAGCAGACCCAACCATGCTGGAGGCTTGCCGTCTCTGTGAACTATTTAAAACATTCTCTTATAACCAATCCCTTGTTTTACAAATAAGAAAAGAGAGGGCATGATATTAGACTGATTATTACAAGTGTATACTGCTTAGTTGATTGGGAAAATGGGATTCTTCTTTGTTATTATTTTCCCAATTGGCTATTTTAGGGACCTTTTTCCCTCAACAAGACAGTCTGGTAAATACTGGTATGCTCCCTTGGTACAAGTACATATTTCTCAGACTGGTATTCCATGGAGCCCTAGCCTCCTGTGATCTGTGAAAAGACTGTCTCCTGTCAAGTTAACCTGAAAGATGCTACCTACTTGTCATCTAAATTTTTACAGCAAAGAAGATTATTTAATTCTGCCATGGTATCTTTCCAAATGTATTTTATCAAGATATTTTTTCCCCACTAAACACCTCTAATCCCATGGTCTTGCCCATGGAAACCAGGACCAATCAGGTCAGGTCTCAACACCAGGTGGCCTCTTGCTAACAGAGCATTGATGGTGAATAAGGAAGGGAGATAAATCAGAGAAATTTCAGAGGAAAACCTAAAATAAGGATAACAAGGCAGTAAACGAAAAGCTAAGTCCTCCTCTTCCTCCCATTTTCTGTCTTCTCCATGTGCATTCCTGCCCTCATTCTTTCCTTCAAAAAATACTGCACATCCACTCTATGCACACCTTGATGCTACAAGCTTCACATGCACTATTTTGCTTAACTAATCAACCCCTTGCAAGGTCAGTAATGTTATCTCCTCCAAACAAGGAAACTGACCTTAGAGATAATGAGTAACTTGCCCAAGATTGCACAGTTAAATTGTTGGAAGAGTCCTGGTTCAAACCAGTCTGCAGTCAGAGCCAGTGTTTTTGTCTAGAGTGCAGTGTTCTTCAGATTATTTCTTCTTATGCCTCTTTTGCTTCCCTCCCTTGTGATGTCAACCACACACCCAGTATTTGTTAAAACCAATATCCTCAGGCTGGCACCGCTACTAAATAGGCTAATCCTCCACCTGCAGCACCGGCACACCGGGTTCTAGTCCCGGTCAGGGCACCGGATTCTGTCCCGGTTGCTCCTCTTCCAGTCCAGCTTTCTGCTGTGGCCCGGGAATGCCCTGCACCCGCATGGGAGACCAGGAGAAGCACCTGGCTCCTGGCTTTGGTTCAGGGCGGTGTGCCGGCCGCAGCATGCCAGCCACAGCGGCCATTGGCAGGGGGTGAACCAACGGAAAAGGAAGACCTTTCTCTCTGTCTCTCTCTCTCACTGCCCACTCTGCCTGTCAAAAATAAATAAATAAATAAATAACCAACCAATATCCTCATAAGTTAAAGAAGACACTGAACTCTCAATGAGATGTAACAATAAAGATCCTCTAGCTCCTGTGCATCTTTGGCATTTAATTAAGCAGAGAATTAGTTTTCTTTAACTAGATCACAAGGAAGGGATTGGCTGTCCATATTCTGAAGTCCTCATTCTGCGCTGCCTGTGAGGCTCCTTTTCTTAGGAGGTGAAGATAATGAAATCCAGAAATGTTCATCAGCCTCATCTTCCTTTCAGCTGGACTCTGCCTGGTGTCATCCAAGTTTGTTGCAATAAAGTCTTTGATCAAAGGAGACACTGTGGGAGGGGATCTGAAATTCCAGGAATTCTTATAGCACATGGCAACTTGTCCCTTAGGCCTTTCTCACCTGTTGCCTGGTCTTTGGAGTGACTTGGTGTCACCTAATTGCCTGTATCACCACTGGGGCTGACTGTAATCTTCACCATTTCTGGCTCCAAAGAGGCAAATTCAAAATGTCTGGGATATTGTTTAGTTATTGAGGCATGTGCTTCTCTGTCCTGCTGGATTGTAGATCCTGGGAGGACGAAGGCTGTCTCTGATTGCTGTTTCTCTCGTGGCTCTCAGCCCTTGGCCTGGTGAAGAACTGGCTCTCAACAATTTGATGAACTCTTGCTAGAACTGTGCTTTGAGCACTGTGATGGACTAGATAGAGCTGGGGCTTAGATCATTCCCAATATGCTCCCATGTAATTTGGCATGTCAGAATTTTGATACACCTAGTTTATTACTGTTCCAGTAATTTAACTGAAGTACATATAAAATACAGTCCAATTCAGCCCAACTGCTGACAAATCCAGCCAAGCCTAACCAATGAAATTTCAGCCTTTACTATCCACATCAAACAAACAGGCCCTTACATTTCTGAACCAATACTCCTCGACTCCTCAGAATCAGCCCACTGCCAGCATTCTTTCAATCAACCCAAACTGATGATATTGAAGCGAAGCTGCGGGATTCTTTGTGACCAGGCATTAACCCAAAGCATGGAAACTTATTCATGGGCCCCTGCCATCGGGATATTCCTGGTGAGAGGCTCATTAGTGTGACCCTCAGAGCTTTCTCCTGTGAGGAACTACTCTCTTTTATAGGACATCCATGTAATTCCCCCTGTGAGTCGCTATGAACCTCTCTTCTGTGTTAGGCAGCCCCCTTCATTCTTCTCGGCCCCTTCTGCCCTCCCTCTACTTGGTCAGGGGTGAGAAGTGAGCAGCCTCCCTTCCCAAGAAAGCCAGGGAGAAGGGCAAAGGGAGAGGACAGTTACTTCCCCATCTTTCAGGTCTAACTTCGAGATCACATGCACAACTGGTTCATAACTGCAGAGGTCATTTCCTGACCCATATGTGGCCAAAGTCAGTCAGTAATGGCAGTTAATGAGAAGGGAGTGTGGGAAGGCAACTTGGTGTGTTGGAGAGCATTTGACCTTAAGCCTTTAGGAAGACCCGGGTTTAAATATGAGTACAGTCCCTTGCTGGTTGTGCAACCTTGAATAAAATGACTTAAGTTCCCACACTTAAGATCTACAAAGCTTACATTTCTCCTCTATAAGATAAAGATAACAATCATACTGGTTTTCCATGACTGCATAGCAAATTCCTACAAACAGCACACAGTCAGTGTCTGGGGGTCAGAGGTCCAGACGTGTCTATAGGTGATCTTCTACCTGGGGTAAAAGCCTACAAAGCTGCCAAATGGTGGCCCTGCAGACCTCTCATCTGCATACGTGGTACAAAACCATCTACTTGCACCCCTGTGCTGCTGCTTTGCAGGATGTGATTAAGGTTCCCACTTCAGGCTGGCTGGAGGCACCCTCAGCTTGTAGAAGCTCCCTGCCGTGTAGCCCTTTCCATAGACCATTGACACCGGGGCTTTCTGCTTCTTCAAGGCCAGCTGGGGAATCTCTCTCTCCAGTCCATTAAGAAACCTTATATAACACAATCATAGGAAGTGACAACACATCACCTTTGCCATTAAAATCTAGCCTAATCGAGGCAGTGATATCCTGTCGCCTTTGTCGTGTCCTGTTGGTTAGAAGCATGGCAAGGGAGGGAAGGACACAAGGTAGTGTAACTCACCAGGGTCACCTTAGGATGCATCCACATGCAGTAGCGATGAAGACCCAATGAGCTAATCCATAGAAAACATGGGAAATGAGTGATGCCTTCCTCTCTTCCAGGTGAGGGACACACTGAGGCAGATGTTCTGAGAAACTTAAGGAAGAGAAGTCAAATGGGTGATAAAGAAAGAGACTGGCAAAGAGGGGGCAGATACTTCTGTCCAGAGCCTGTCATTAGAAACATGAGGTGCATGTCTTTGAATCTGCTTTTTGTAGTTGCACAGAGAGAGGCACTTTGCATCATTAAACCCCCGTGACTTCCTGCTGCAGCATGCACTGGGCTTCTGTGCCATGCAGCAACTTTTGCAGACTATTCCATTTTTAACCAGTGACCACTATCTGAGGAATAAAAAAAAAAATCTTTCAGTGTCTTGAGGTGAATGGCTAGAACAATACACATTTCTGAGGTAAAACAATGCTGAGCTTCTTCCCATCATTCCTTTCGAATCCATCTCTTTCACTTTACTCTTCCTCAGATTTCACAACTAGGTGATTAGATTTCCCTACTTTAAACATTTATTTATATGGAAACATTTATTTAAACATTTATTTATATAGAAATTGTCTTGCAGGAAAATTCAAGAAAATCAAAGCCATCAGTGACTTTCAGGTGCGAAGTGTTCAGGGAGCTCCTACCTGGAGGCCTAATTCAGTCCCAAGGAAGTGAAATATTAAGTTGTGGGGGAGAAAAAAGAAGGATTTGTAAGTACCGGAAGAAGGAATTGAGTCTGTGAAGAAATTAGTATCAAAAATTTCACTTTTTAAAAATCACTATTTTCCAGAGGTAGAGACAAATATGAGGGATTTCAAAAGGTTTCTGTGGGGGTGGACTTTTGGCCTAGTGGTTAAGACATTGGTGAGGGTACCCATGTCCCATACAGGAGTGCCAGGGTTTGAATCCTGACTTTGGTTCCTGGATCTGGTCCATTTTAATTCACATATTGGGAGATATCAGGGATGATTGCTGAAATGATTGGGTCCCTGCCACCCACCTGGGAGATCCAGCTTCAACCTAGCCCAGTCCCAGCCTTTGCAGGTATTTGGGGAGTAAACTAGTGAGGAAGAGTTCTCTATCTGTCTCTCAAATAGCAAAGTTATTTAAAAATTTATAAAAATTGAATTAAAAGATTATTTTAATGCAGAAAATTTTGAAATTTATGCAGTTTTTTCATAATAGATATTTTCCATGAACTTTTTGAGTTACCCTTGTACCATTTAGAAAACATTCTTTATAGTTTCCCTAAAGAAAATTATTTATTGATCTCCAGTGTAAGAAAATTTAGGATAACCAATCTAGAGGGATTGAGTTCAGTCATTTCATTGGTGAGAAAGAGATACTCTTCCATTGTGTAGTGAGGCACTTAAATTGATTGCTGCTAGAATTGATAGTTTTTTTTTCTGTAGCATAGTCTGAGTTTGAACAGTAAATCAGGTGCCAAAGGAATCATACCATATGGAAAGAGAAACCCAACGTCAAGCCCCAGCTCTGCTACATGCAAACTCCATGACTCTGAGCAGTTACCAAACCAGATTAGGCTTCAGTTTC